GACTCCATCTCACATACTTTGGGCACATGGTCAGGAGGGACCAGTCCTTGGAGAGGGACATCATGCTTGGAAGAGTGGAGGGACTACGCAGGAGAGAAAGATCCAAGATGAGATGGATCTTCCTCTCCTGTGCTGTTACTTGGAGTGATTTTGTGGTTCTTGATTAGTTGACATACATTACCAGAGATGTCTTGGTTGTTTATTCACGATCCTGAAAGAAAAGTTCAACTTTACTAAAGTATAATATTTCTGCTTTTTGAAAGTTAAGAAAATGAAACGATAAATCACAAATTGGGGCCAAATGTTTACTGAACATATGTCTGCTGAAGAATTTATACTTCGTGTATATAAATAATTTTTTAAAACTTAAATTAGTAATAAACAATCCAGTAAAAACATAGGCAAAAGACCTAAACCAACATTTCCGCAAGGAGGATATTTGAGTAGAAAATAAACACATGAAAAATGCCCTTTAGCACCTTTAGTTAATAGTGAAAAGCAAATGAAAGCCACAGTAAGTTGGTGTTAACACATTTGTTAGAATGATTTCAGTAAACTGCCCATGTCAAATGCCACTGAGAATGTTGAACAACAGAGATTCGTATAGGGATGGTAGAATTGTAAAATAGAAGAACTTGGGAAATTGTTTAACAGACTTGTAAAATGTTAAATGTCACATCTCATTATTCAGATATAAAGTTGCCTTGAACACTGAATTAACAAACAAAAAGTCTTTCTGCTTTCGAGTATAAGGGGCTGCTCAGGCATCTTGCCCCTCTATGTATGCGTATGTCTGCAGTGATCGTGAGAACACTGCAAGTACTGGGTTTGGGTTACAAACTTTAGAGAGGACGCAAGTTCCTATATAGCAGATCCACAAATGAAGATCAGCTGTATTTATCATCTAACTATTCCACTTATAATCAAGATAAATGGAAGCACGTACATCCATGCAGAGGCTTGATTATATCATTATTGGTAAAATTTAAAAATGCAAACCTAATAGTTGAATTGCTTGCTGTGCATCTAAGAGCTGACAGTGAATAAGGATGACAAAAGAAGAACTGATGCCTTTGAGTATAATGGTGTTGGAGAAGAGCACTGAACATCCCAGGGGCTGCCTTAAGAATAAACAAGTATGTCTTGGAGAGGGTGTAGCCAGAGTGCTCTTTAGAGGCAAGATTGATGAGGCTTCGCCTCATGTACTTGGACGTATTACTAAGGAGAGGCTGTTCCCTTGGAAAGGGACATGATACTTAGAAGGGTAAAGGGTCGGCGAAGGAGAGGAAGACCCTTGACTAGGTGGATTTACGTGGTGATTGCACTAATGGACTCTAGTGTATCAGTAAGTGTGAGGATGGCACTGGGTAGAACAGGGCTCAGATCTTTTGTTCATAGGGTCGCTATGAGTCATGGCACCTAACAATGGTAGGTGAATGGGTGAAGACATGTGGCATAACTACAAAGGACCACTATGACCAACTTAAAAGAATGATGTATGGCCAGCACATGGATGCATCGGCCCATAGTCAGAGATTTCCTTGGCATTGTAAATATTGAAACTGACAGTTTGCGTGTTGGAAAGACTTTGGTTTTTGAAACATGTTTGTTTCCCAATCTTGTCTTGAAATCCAGGTGACTTGGCATGAAATTGCAAGGCCTCAGATACACGGATATGATCTGAATTGTTTAGCCCTGATTAACCGATTCCAGTTTGTATCTGGAGCAGATGAAAAAGTTCTTAGAGTGTTTTCTGCTCCTCGAAATTTTGTGGAAAATTTCTGTGCCATCACAGGCCAGTCAGTGAATCACATATTTTGTAATGTGAGTATCCCTTTATCTGTTTTAATTGCCTAGTCTCTTCATTTAAAATGGATTAGAAGAAAATACTACCTTCGGGCTGTAAATGGAATATATGGGTAGAAAGAAAATAAAATAATTAGGTATTAACTGACAGACTTGTATGTGCTGTGACATGCACTGATATGAATTTTAAAGCCAGTTATTTTATTAGCCCAACATACTGTGAAGCATGATTGAAATCCTAATAAAGACATGAATGTGTCTGCTGGTACTTGAGATGAGTCACTATTCTAGGTACCCAGGATAAAATAAAATGGAAGAGATGGGTCTGCTCTAGCTGTGGAGTAGGCGTAGATGTAACTTACTTGCAGTTACTAGATGAGAGTAGTTAATTGCTGCACTTTTATAGTGCTCAGTTAAACGTCATACAAAGAAGTCACTATGTTGGAGTAAGGAGAGAGTTTAAAGGAGCTGCGGATGAACTTCATAAAGATAAGCTTTTATTTATGTTGATGCCACTTCTGTAAGAGTTCAGTTATAAAAATACTTTGAATATAAAAATAAGTTAACTAGTTTGAAGCAGGATGCTGTAGTGATCATGTGCTAAGGAATGAAGCTGCTTAAGCTGCCAACCCAAAGACAGGCAGTTCGAATCCACCAGCTGCTCTGCAGGATAAAGATGGGGAATATCTTCCTGTGCAATTTACTACCTCAGAGAAGCGCTGGAGAGTTAGCTGTGAGTCAGGCTAAATTTTAAGAGACACTCTTAGTCCATAGACATATGCGGTATTTTGGTTAACCCATCACCTGTAATGATTTGACTGATAGGTACATTATATAAATTGATTACCAGCATTACCGCTTCAGATTAAAATTCTTTTATAAGTGAAACTGTGAGTCTTCCGTTTTGAACCCACTCTTTGCCCAGATAAGTTCCTTGTTAGACAGTGGAATCCTATTCAGCTTTTAGGGTTTGTCAGGCTCATGGGTAAGGAGATTTCCAGCTCTATGAATTGGTGGAGATTGGGGGCTAGGTAAAGCCTGTCTGTTGAACAATGTTTGCTTAGCATAGAATCTATTCATTCAGGAGATGTGTCTGGACATCACCAGAAGGTGGTCTTCATACATGAATTTTGTAGTGTCTGAGAGGGAGCTCTCAGTGGTAAAAAGCCTAGTGGTAAAAAGCTGTACTGTAATACCAAAGGCATGTGGTTCAAATCCACCAGTTGCTCCACGGGAGAAGGATGGGTAATCTTCCATGTGATTTACCACCTGTGAATTCTGACTCTACAAACACAACAAGAAGGTAGGAGTGACAGTTCATTTTAAAACTTATTTTGTTCCAGCAAGACAATGATTTTCCAGAAGGAGCTGCTGTTCCTGCTTTGGGATTATCAAATAAAGCTGTCTTTCAAGGTAAGGCTTTCATCTCCAAAATTAGTGACACCATAGTGGTTCTTAAAACCCATTACTTATAAATGAAACACTGTCACATTCTCATTACCCGTATTAAATAATCGATACTATGAAACCAGACAGTGAACATATACTTTAAAACAATGATGGGAAATTAAAGGAGTTCAAGAGAAGCTAGATTAGTGGAAACAGAATAAGGAGAGCAGAAATAATGAGAATGTTGATATATTTTGGATCACATAACCATGTCATGGAACTATTTGTATAAAATTCTTAAATGGGAACCTAACTTGTTTTGTGAGATTTCACCTAAAACAAAATCTATATATTTTAAAAATCCTGGTACAGACTTGTGTGACTTGCACTTAATGTGGTTTTTTTTTTTTAAAAAAAATCACTGTGTGTCTCTTCTCCATCAAATGTATTTATCTCATGATGTTACTCTGTTCATGTGCAGACCACTGAAATCTTTAGTATGAAAAAATTTGCCCAGAACAGCCCTTATCACTAGGAATAATTTTTTCCTGCATATTGAGAAATGAAGCAGCTGTAGTATTTTATGATATTATAATTTTCCCCTTGTTGATTTTTACTCTTTGGTAAAACTTTCCTCGTACAAAAAAGCTGTTCTCTTCTTAACAAGTTTTTTTCAATAACTTGGTGTGGGTGAATATTTTTCAGAGCAAATTAGTTTTTCATTCATCACGGTTATACACATCTCATTTTGTAACATGAGTTGCAATATCCTTCAGGATAACAGCTCTTGTCCCCACTTCTTTCTGGGTTCCCTGTATCCATTCACCAGTCTTTCCTGCTCCTCCTACCAACTGAGCTTTGTTTTGGGAAAAATGTTCTCCTTTTGATCTTGTATAATTAATTGTTTTGAGGAGTATGTTCCTCGCCTAGTGCTGTTCAGTTTATAGACCTGTTTATTTGCTATAAGGGCCTCAGTTTTAGATGGTCCACCTGCCTCTGTCAGACTAGTAAGTTTGAATTTTGTTTTCTACTCTTCCCCATTCTGTCAGAGAACATGTATCATGCCAGTCAGAGCAGTTTGTAATGGGCACTGGCTACTGGCTAATTTTTGTGGTCAGTCCTTGGACCGTCTAATTGATATGATGTACTATTCCTTTGGACTGATTCTTCTCTGCTTTTCTTCATTTGCCTATACTCTAAGTGGGGAGAAACCAGTAGTTACATATTAATTAATAATGGCTGTTCACTAACTTTTTGCTGCTCCCTCACCCCAGTCCCTCAGGAGATGTTAACTAGGCTTTAAAAACTCCATTCACTGCTGAGTAGATGAGCTGTGAAGTAACACCACAATCCTAGGACGTCACTAGGGATACCCTAAAAAAAATTGATGCATGTTTTTAAATGTTTGGAAATATTAGCTTAAAAAATAAGGAAATCTGTATGGAAATGATTAAAAGATTTACAAATGTTAGGTCAAAGAATTAGGGGGAAAAATCTTTATTTAATCAACTGTTGCTCTAAGGGGCACAGTTGGCAAAAGCTAGAGTTGTGGAAATAGCTTTGGAACCATGTGAATGTGCCTTTGATGGCAGATCCACTGTTTCCATTTGGTGACCTTAGTATTGGGACAAGTATAGGGGACGTAAAGATAATAACTACATTTATGACACTGATCTATTTCTTTAAAACTAGGAGATATAACTCCTCAGCCTTCTGATGAAGAGGAATTCTTAAGTAAGTCTGGTTCTGAGTATCACCAGATGGCCTTTCAACCTTCCCTTCTTACTGGTAAGATACTAGGGCAAAGATACGGCAAAAATTAATAACATCACTAGCAGGCATAAAACTGTTGTTAGAAAGACATGCTTTAGAATTGATTTATTTACTTATTTTTGCAAAGGACTAGAAAAATAATGGCATGGCTGTGTGAATATGTTTGTTACAGAGCCTCCCACGGAGGATCATCTTTTGCAGAATACTTTGTGGCCTGAAGTTCAAAAGCTGTAAGTTAAACTGGCTTACGTCTTTTGTATGACTCTTGTAATTTGTCATTTCTCCCCAGCTCTCCCCTCCACAACTTGATTTTCTCCTTTGTCTTTTGCCTACTTATACTTCTCCTCCGCCCTCCACTTCTGTAGATCTTTTTATTAAGGTTCTTTAATGTCTTTAATTCTTAAGATAGAGATGCATTACATGTGTGTATATAATATTATCTTTTTTTTAAATAATTTTTTTGTCTTCTCCAAGACTTCATTAAAACCTCCACAGATTATGATTTATTTTATTGTCTGGGAGCAAGAGGTGAAACTTGTACATTAACTACTTGAGTTTTATATTACATTCTGGAAGCTCACATTTTTCTCAAGTGTCTTTTTTAAATTTTCAATATTTAAATACCTTGTTCTTTAACATAACTGTTAGCTAGAGAGATTGTAAATTTTTTGAGAATAGGTAACATTTACAAATCATGTTCTTTTTCTTTTTTCGTTGTAGATATGGACATGGTAATGAAATATTTTCTCTTGCTTGTAATAATTCAAAGACTCTGCTTGCCTCAGCATGTAAGGTAGGCAACTTTATTTTTAATTCTCCTGGTCACAGTTTATTCATTAGGCTCTGGAAAGTTGGTTTAACCAGAATGCTACGTGAAAAGCTATCAATGTCTGCTTTTTCTGAATATTTTTCTCTCCTCCTATCTTTTTCCTTTCCTCCTCCGAAAACTTGCAGTTGCCTTTTTAATCTATTTTAGCTGCACCTTTTCCTCTGCTTAAATTCTTGTCTTGAACTTACTTGTATCTCCTGCTCAAAATGGTTAAATTGGTTATGTCCAAATGATAGTGAAAATATGACAAGTTAATTAGAATCCTGGAGACCTAAGGAAATGAGAACGTCATGCTTGTTTTTCTTGAGAGTACTTTGGACCTCAGTGATGGTGAGCATAGTCCATCAGTCAGGCAGGGTGGGCTGACCTGCTCAGCTCGACGTCACAGCATGTGGACTTCACACATTTACTTGGAAGAAGGAACGTGATCATTGTTCCCTATTTCTCCACTCTGAAGGGTTTTAACCATTTATGGAGGATTGTTTGAAACCATCAGAAGGATACATTCCTGTAAACTTTCTCACATTGATTTAAGTGTGACGATGAGAGCTGCCTGCCTAGATGAACTCTGAGTCCTTAATTTTATTGTGACTTCTTGCCACTCACATGCCTTGAGCAGCATCATAAGAAATGGTGCTGTACAGTAGATACTCTTTTTTGTTCTGCTTTTTTTCTACTCAGCATACTCCTGAGAGTCAAGTTACCTTGTAATATTTATCAGGACTCCATTTCTCTTTATGGCTCAGTGATACTCCATTGTATGAATATACCGCATTTTATTTTATGACTATTTTTTGTGTGTGTACCATCAAATTGAATCTGATTGTTACAGGAGAAGACTGCCCCTCCTTCTCCAGCAGAAGCATCTGGTGGATTTGAACTGCATACCTCTGAGATTGCAATGCAGCTTCTTGCCACTAGGCCACCAGAGCTCCCAAATATACCGCATTTTATACACACATCTGTTAATAGATGGTTAAGTTATTTCTACCATTTGACTATTTTTAATTGTGCTGCAGTGAACATTGTCCAGATTTCTTTATTCCATATACTTAGGAGTTGGTGAGTAGGTGATAGTTATTTCTAAATGTACTGTATGATTTTATTTATATAAAAATTTTACTTTTTTGGTGTTATAACAAGTCAAATAGACCAATTTAGTAGTTTCAACACTTAAAATTCAGTGATACTAATAAAGTCCAAGTTGTGTAGCCATTTTTATTCTCCTCATTCCTCTACTCTTAACAGAAACCTGCTGGGCTTCTCTTACGTAACCTAAACTTACTTCTAGGTCAGGTGTATAATTCGCCTTCCCAGCACTGGATGAGGGTTCCAGTTTTTCTACATCCTTGACCTCATCTCTTACCCTCCAGTTTGTTGATTTAATTTCTTTTTCTGTTATAATAGTTTGAGTGAGGATGAAGTGGTGTCTCGTTGTGATTTTGATTTTCACCTACATAATAATGACGGGAGCTCTGGTGGCCTACTAGCCGGAAGCTCTGCAGCAGTCCTGAAGGCACGTGGTTTGAATTCACCAGCTCCACCACGGGAGAAGGAATGGCATTCTCCTCCCGTGCAATTAACTGCCTCAGAAAACCTTCTCGAGGGTCGGCTCTGGGTCAGTTCTGACTCGATGGTACACGACAGCTACAACAGCAGTGATTAAGGAGGGAGCTCTAGTGTCGTAGTTCATAAGCACTTAAGCTGCTAAGGCAGAAATGGGATCTCTCTGGCAGTTTGAACCGACCAGCAGTTCTCTAGGAGAAGGATGGGTGATCTTTTCTCATATGATTTACAGCCTGCAGAAACCCACTGGAGGGTCGCTAGGAGCGGGTTCTGACTCGATGGCAATGAGCTCGGTTTTCTTTTGTTCTTTTGAAATGAATGGTTAAATAAAGAAGCCAAACTAGTGCACTGATTAAAGTGTTTGGTTGATAAATGAAAGACCAGCAGTTGAAAACCCACAAGCTGTTCTTCAGGAGAGAGATGTGACACTCTCCTTCTGTAAATATGACTTTGGTGGTAGTTCTTGTCCTGTCATTACGAGTTGCAGTCATTTCGATGGCATGGTGTGGTTGGGTTTTTGGAATGCCTGAGGACTTTAATTAAGGAGCTCTGGTGGCCTTGTGTCAAGAAGCTGCACTGCAGTCTCGAAGGCACATGGTTCAAATCCCATCAGTTCCTCTTTGGGAGAAGGAGGAGCACTCTCCTCCCATGTGATTAACTACCACTGAAAACCTGCCGGAGTGTCAGCTGTGGGTCAGTTTGATTCGTCAGTAAACAACAACAACAAGGACAATAATTATCTTCATAGGTGCTTTTCTGATACTTGGACATTTTCTTGGTGATCCAGTTGTCCAGATCTTTTGTTTCCTGCCCCGCCCCCTTTGAATTGTCTTACTTCCTTTTAGATTCTAGGAATACTTTATTTTTTTGTGGATACTTAACCCTTATCATTTATATGATTCCCTCAAATTTCCTCCTGATTTGTAAATATTTATATGATTCCCTCAAATTTCCTCCTGATTTGTAAACTTCACAAAGTCTTCACTTTGTTGATGAGCCCTTTCATATATGAGGTCCTTTACACCATTTGTGCTTTTAGTTTCAGAAACTATTTTTATTTATGCAGCTGATATAATTTCTTCTTATGAAAAGGAAACAAACAGAAATGTGATTGCAACTTAAGTTTGGCATGAATCTGTTCTCTCATCCCAGCTGCTTCTCTCCCTCTTCTCAGAGGTTCTGCATCATTGTATTAAATCTGTCCTCAAACTGTTTTCTTTATATTTACACAACCGTATATGAATGTAGCCGTAGAAACTGTATATCTTTTTAATGTATTCTCTTACTTGGTTTTCCACTTTAATTCCTTCAAACTTTACTCTTCCCTGCAGGCAGCCAAAAAACAGCATGCAGTTATCATTCTTTGGAACACCACATCTTGGAAACAGGCGCAGACTTTAATTTTCCACAGTTTGACCGTCACACAGATGGCCTTTTCACCAAACGACAGGTACTTACTGGCTGTTTCCAGAGATCGGACCTGGTCATTGTGGAGAAGGCAGGAAACAGTCATAGGTAAAACAGCTTCTCATTGGATCAAAATACTACTAATGGAATAAGTATGTCAATTTTAACCACACTGAGTACTGTTGGGAGAGAGAAGTGGAAATGAGAGTAGAACAAAGCGCATTGTCACGGCTGTGTTATCAATGCCCTGTGGTAACTGCCAAAGAGAAATCTCCCTTGTAAGATTGCGTTTCAGAGGATGTCGGGTCTGCTTCATTATAGCTTTTGCATGGCATGTGCTTGAGTATCTCTGTTATGAAAACAACCTATTTGTAGGAAAGTTTCATCTTGTAAGTGTCTACCTCAAAAAAATAAATGCAAACACAAAACCAAATGGATCACTTGTTCTGAGCGAGAAATCTATGGAGCAGGAATAATGCTAATAATACATCTAAGAACACTGAAGGTTGAATGGTCTCTTTTCCTTTGGGAACTAGTTTGCAAAGGCACTAATATTTTAATTACAGGACATAGAAGGAAGAGTATCCTTAGTCTTTTCTTACGTGGCCTTTGATGAGTTGGTAAGGGCGTTTCAGGTGTCTGCTGATGGATAACGTGGACCAAATGCTTACCTCCTACACCCACCCACACTGTTAGCCAGGTGTAATTAAAAAAAAGAAAGAATGCTTCGCTAGGTAAATTCTAGAGGGTGTTTCGTGTATATTTATGTTTAATTTTAATTTTTCCAGTGATGACTTATATATTGTTTGATCTTTTAATGTTTCTAGTTCCTAGGTTTCTTGTAGAGAGTGTGTGTGTGTGCATGTTTGCTGTCAAGTCAGATCCTACTGGCACAGGAGGAGACTGGCCATCCTTCTCCAGCAGAGCATCTGGGGAATTTGAACCATGTGCCTTCAGGATTGCAGCTCAGCTTCTTGCCACTAGCCACCAGAGCTCCCGTGGTTTCTTGTATTTTAATATCAAGAGCTATAACAATCAGCAGCTAGAGCAGACAGTTATGTTTTGCATTGATTTCCTAACATGTAACCGTTACTTGAAATGGAATGTATGAGCATCCTCAATTCTAGGCGTTAGTGAGATGAAATGGACCAGCTTTGGCTACTTTGAGTCAGATAATCACATAGTTTACTATGCTGGGAATGAAAATCAGAAGAAGAGTGGTGTTATGGTCACAGTTATTAGAAGTGGCCTTACATTTAAATCATACAAGCAAAGTATTTTTATGTTGGTTTATTTTACATTCCATTTTTGTTTTCAGATGCCTTCGCGTTGACAACCCCACTCACAGTGACCCTAAGAACCATAGCTGTGAACCTTACCTTATCCTGCACCAAACTTACGATCCCTGACATGCTCAAGCCTGTTGTTACAGTCCCTGTGTCGTTTCATCTCATTGAAGGTCTTCCTCTCTTGTGCTGACTCTCCACCTTTCCAAGCATGTCTCTCTCCCAGGACTATTTACTTTTGAAAATATACCCAAAGTAAGTGAGATGAAGTTTCACCATCCTTGCCTCTAAGAAATGCTCTGTTTGCATTTCCTTCAAAACAAGTTTGTTCTTTTGGCAGTCCACGATCATTCAGTACTCTCCACCAACACCACAATTCAAAGGCTTGGGTTTTTCTTTGGTCTTTTTTATTCATTGTCTAATTGAAAATATTATGGCTTTGTTCAGGTGCACCTTAGTCTTCAAAATAACATCTTTTAGACCAGCAGATTTCCTAAATTCAGCATGCTTTTAAATTTCTTGTCTGTTTCATGGATATAGATTGTGGATCCAGATAAGATGAAATTGTTGACAGCTTCAGTCTTTTCCTTTTTTTTTAAAAAAAAGGCCATTTTTTTGGTATTGTTTTCACTTCTTGCACTTGAAATACTCTTCGATGACATCCTTGGCCAGAGATGCTTTGCCATTGTCCTTAACAGCTACACAATGCAGCCAACTACTTTGTGGGGCTAAAAATATTCAACACTTCATGGTTTTGTATGTCATCCTTGTGCAGAGGCTTTGCTAATCTTCTCAGTATCGTTCCGTTTTAGTATATGTACTGCTGAAATGAGCACTCTCCATCTTTTTTTATGTTTCTTTATGGTCCAATGGTGAGCATTTTTATTTTCTTGGTGTTAAGATGGACCCTTTTTTGAAAGCTGTAGTCTTTGATCATCTTGCACTAAGTATTTCAATTCATCTTCACTTTGTGCATGCAATATTGTGTCATCTGCATAATACTACTTATTGATGAGTCTTCCTACAATCTTGCTGCCACATTCTTCATACAGTCTTGAATTATTTACTCAGCATACAGATTGAGTAGGTATAGTAGAAGTGTTTTATTTAGAATTCTAAGTAGATCAATAATTAGTTCCAGACTAAATACAAAAACACCCAGGTAAAATATGTTCCAAATATTCCATCTGCTGTATCACTCCATCTTTTTTGTGGCACTCCGTCTTTTTCAACCTTAACTGTTCCTCCTCCTCCTCTTCCTCCTCCTGGCTCAAACCTCCCATCCATTTCTTAGGCTTGGCAATTTGCTTGAAGTTACCTCAATGTTCACACAGTTGTTAATGATACAGCCTTGAGAAACAGGACTGGAGATGCAGAGTAGCCAGGGCAGCTGGCTCAGTATAGGCTCCTTGGAGGCAAAGATTCTGAGGCTCCGTCTAACATACTTTGGACATGTTGTGAGGAGGGACCTGTCCCTGGAGAGGGACATCATGCTTGGGAGGGTGGAGGGACAGCGCAGGAGAGGAAGGCCCTCTATGAGGTGGATTGATTCAGTGACTGG